TGAAAGTTGTATTATGGCCCTTAAATTCCAAAATATAAACGAACTGGTAAGCATGTGAAAATGGGAAAAAAACACCTTTTTTCTTTAGGCGGAGGTGGTGTGGATGTAGGCAGCGATTCTACCATCGGAGGTAAAAACAAAGCTGTCGGAGTTTGAAAAGAGGGTCGTTGCCGTATAGTTTCGCCCGCAAGTGACTTTGTAGACTTGTATGTAGGTTCCGGTTCTGACGAAGGAGCCATTTGCTTGGAAGACGGTCTGACAGCATATTCAAGGTCACGTGTGGCAGTGCCAGCTTTGGCGGTGGCTGTCGGGGTGGTAACGATAGTGGTGGCAGTGGTAAAGACAGGGGTGGTAGTGGAGATTGGGACGAGGGGATCACAGATTGACGAACAGAATGGTCCGAAATCGACGTGAGCTGACATGGCCGGGATACTGATCGTCGAGCAGTGTCCTGTGACCGACTAATTGAAGCAGGACAGTTGAGAAACATGTAATTCGTAAAATAGGATAATGAAATAATAATAATATTATTATAAATAATATAATAAAAAGGAGGAGATAGCAAGATCGGCCTGATTTTTTTAAATTTTTCTTAATAATCTTATATTGTAAATAATTGAAATAAGTAAGTTCTATTTGTGAGCTTCACTAAGTCAGTGCCAATGTAACGAAACATTTCTATATTCTGTCTGGGTTTCCTATAATGTCGAACTATCATCACAAGAGGGAAAATGAGAAAAAGCTGGTATTCTTAATGATTTTGAATTAAAATCTCATAGCTGAGATTAGAATGTTTAAGATAATCTTGTGGATATCTCTTATATATAACCTATTTCAACTCTATGTTAAACTTAATATATTTCTTAGTGTAGCTATATCTTCTAAGATCAAGATTAGAATATCAAGGAGAGAAATTTAATTGTCCTTCTCCATTTATCGAGTGAATAAGACGTTGGAATAAACTTCGTTTCTTTGAGGGCCATTGGTTAAATCACAATATTGTAGCTTTGTTGGAGTAAAGCAACTGCTTTTTCATAATCTTCGAAGCATTCAATCACAAAATTAGCTACAATGGGCCCTAGTTGTCTTCCTACTTTGATGCAAGTTTACTTATTTATAGTAGGCCGTCCTTAATACTTTTATTCTTCACATAGTTTGTAATATGGTTGATACACTCATCCACGGAAAGGTTAGTACATGAAGAGTTTACATCGTAGGATGGCACGATTGTTTCACTGACTATTAAGCTACACTAAAGTATTACTGATTTGTTCAGATACTTGACAAACGGTGTGAGTGGAGTTAATCATTTACAAGACTGGGCAGTTAAATTATTCCTTATGAAACTTTAAGAGTTCGTAAAATGAAAGAATCCATTTGTCGTTAGTGAGTAGGTTTTCGAGACTCATATATAAGAAGACGTAATTCTACCCATTCGCCTTATATAATGACCGTATGCTTGTGTGGACATGGGTCATTTATGTCGTTAGTTTCTGTAGGTATTTTATAGTCTTGCCATATGCTCTAGTGTTGGCGGACTCAATCGCCTATTTCTATTTGAATTCGCCAGTTGGGAATTAGACTTAAATACGAAAAATAAAATTCTTTCATTTATTGCATGGTGTTAAGAAATTCCACTTCATTCTCTAATTGACTTTATTAGACTTTATTAGATTTTTTGAATTCACTTTCCAATTCATCGTATATAAATAAACAAGCCTGTACGTTACTTAAACATAATTGAATATGGTGGCTTGGAAATAGAAATATACAATCAAAAGAAAGCAACAAAATGAAGTGTGGCAGGCAAAAAGTGAAAAATTGGCTTAACTGTAAGTTCCATATCTTATCGTTTGAATAAAAGTATTAAAGCCAAAATGGATTATTTACAAATGAATAGTGAAAATAGGGCAAGGCTGCCCGGTGCTTAGCGCCTTTTTCATAATGAGTTTTCGATATTATCAGTATAACTTGTATAAGAATTGTATTCGCCCTAGGTGATATGAATAGTGAATGAGTAAGGTATTAGCATCTAGGCTACGCTGTAGTTTGGACTTCACATGAGCCTCATCAGTTCACCAGATAGAAATCGAATCCATGCAATGAAGCATAACATTTCGACATGCCTCCAATACGCCAAATTGGCACAATTGCTATCGGGTTAAAGATCAAGATCTACTGAAAATATCAAAACCTACTTATAATTAATATAAGTAACGTAGTCGATTATAATGGCAAAATAGAAATTTCTTATTTCGTGAGTAAGTAGGCTTTCAATAAATAGAGTCAATACAACTCATATATATGATGTAATGGGAGTTTCCAAAACCCACTCACGAAAAAATCAATGTCGTCGAATTTTTTAGCAAATATAACTTTGCATCATCGACAATTCCACGAAATAATGTGATATGGGAAAATGCCTGGCCTTCAATGAGATTCACATCTGCACTGTGACCCAATGACACTCGTGACAATGTGGCGTAGAGGTTAACGTGTCGAGCTTACACGCTGCATTGTCATGGTTCGACTCCCGCTGGGAGTGTTGATCAGACTACTGCAAGATCGAAACCGTAATCCAACTTTGGGAGAGTAAGGTTATGCAAAATTCAATGGAAAACATCGGCTCTACTCATATAATTGTGGGGAAATTCAACTACTAGTCCTTCATCACCTTAAACGAAATAGGGTAAACACAACTCATCAATTTCTTAATTGACAATTTTATCATAAATGTGATATGAGAGAGACAAGGATTTTCTTGAAATTTAATGCTACTCTGTGACCTGAACTATCCATGTTCCATTCCTTTGGAGTGCTTATTAGAACTATCCGAGGGAAAAATCGTGGTCCAGCTTGGATGATATTCTCTTTTTGGAGGCAAGGCTAGTTAATATTTAATGGCAATGTAAAGTTGATCAATGAGAGGAAATCATGTATCAGTCCTTCATCACCTTATCCGACCTAGGGTTACTAAATCCCCTATTTAACAATTTTGGTAGAGGAAAGCCAAAATAAAATCAATGGCATCGTAAGGTCTATATTGAAAAAAAAGCACTATCAATACTTAATAGTGTTGGTTTGACCTTGTTTTCGCAACTTTATCGGAGCGTACCTAATCCTGTGTCCCCTGCCATAGTATTCGTGATTTCCAGTATTGGACCATTGGTTAGGAATCTTCCTCTCCCTATGTTTCAAAACCATGACTCAATTATCCTCTCCCACATCACCAACCACATTGTGTCTCATTCTTTGGGGCTCCGTGTCCGGCTTAAGCCATAACTGCTGGTGTGAGAATGCACTGCATCCATTTTTCCTCTTGAATCACGAAAAACACACTCCTCTCGTCTCCCAAAGTTGACATCCTAGGGTACTGGGATGATGTTCATGTGTGTGTGTGTGTGTGCAGACTGATATACCCCATGGTCAAGCATGTCACCAGTTCCCTCCTCTTCCGATACAAATATGAAAAATACATACAACACCTACACACACACCCTGCTTACATATATCTGTCCCACCTAGACATTTAACCTTTAATCTCATATCCTATGCCCCACAGGAGAACCCGCTGGGTAAAACTTCTGCCAATTCCACCTCTGACTCTTCTCACTGCAGTCGCCTTTTCTTAACTTCCTTTTGTTCCTCATAAGTCGCTCTTCGGAGTTGTCTCTTCCTGTTGTTGAACTTTGTCCAGGGTCCAAGCGTCATCTTTTTGATGTATTCGATGAATCTCCAAGTCTGCTCAGGCAGTACGCCAAATTATCGCTGACTCTTCCCTCTTCCACTCTCCTGTTCATCAGGTTTCTTTGAGAGAAGATATCCACAGCCTCCCTGATCTTCCATTTCTTGATCTTTTCCCAATCTGACGCCAGTCTTTCCGTTGCATTCCAGTCAATTGTTTGGCCGGTAATGGCGACGTGTTCAGCTGTCTTCAATCTTTTCGTGTCCATTTGTCTGCATAGCGCTGGTGCTCTTCGATCCTAGTGCTGATTGTCCTTCCCGTCTCTCAGATGTATTTTTATCACAGTCATTGCAGTTGATACTGTAAACTCAATTTTCCAAGTATTGGCCGTAGCTTTTGAGCCAATTCGCAAGAAGGTAGACATATGCATCGTTTTTCCTCTGTTCCTCTTGCTTTCCTTTCATAATCTCCATCCTTTCATCTTATCATCATCATCCGTGTGTTGCGTTGTATTGCCTCTTCTGGAAATCCGTTTCCAAAACACATCTGAGTTATTTTTTGCAGTTTCTCTTGTCAGAACTCAGAATCAGTGAATCGTAAGTTACTTATGACAATACTCCGGAGTATTCCAAGCTTCATCCCATAATTATGGTTCAACTGGGAGTTAAGAGCTATTCCAGAATGCGATTTCTTTCGGAAAAGACTTTTCTTGAGCGTTTCCTGAGAGCAAATGATTTTCACACCCAAGAACGGTAAGTGTCCAGTCTCTTCCACATTCATAGTAGATTTGAATTTTTCGTCCATTTCGTTTATGAAGATGGGGGTCATCAAACCTTGATGGCAAAAACAGAAGTTCCTTTTTGCTGTCCTAATTACTTTGAGCCATCACTTCGGGTTTCGTGCATAAGCGAACACTAAAATACACATAAAAATACAGAAACAGACACACTCACATGCATAGAAGTTGACATATGACCTTGACTAACCAAATCACCTTATACTCGATCAAATAGTCCTGATGTAGAGTATATACAGCACTTTTTAGGGATTTGCCGGTGAGTTTTCTTGACTCTTAAGCTTGAATTTTGTTGTGACGATGTTACCT